AAAAAAAAAAAAAAAGTTTAGTCTAGCGACTGAAACACTATTCTAGGCATTTTACAAATACTAACTAATCTGCTCTTCATAAATAATCCTGAGAAGTTGGATCCTCAATTTACAGAAGAGAAAACTGAGGCACATAAAGTCAAGTAACTTTTCGAATGAGACATAGCTAGTGCTTGATGGAGTCTGCCTTAGAAGAAAATTTGGCACGGAGTCTTCTCTGAAACTCAGTTGATGAAAAGGGGCAGCCAAAACCTAGCCAGGGACAGGGACCTGGGATCAACTCATTGCAGGGACCAAGGTCTTTACTGTGGGGTAGGAATCTGAGTTCAGTGCCAGCTGGATGATGCGCTCAGCCCACGGAGGGTCTCTGGGTTCATTCTTTCATGGTGGAGTGGAAAGAACACACGTTCGAATTTTAGCCACTGATCTCTGAACCTCAGTTTTCTCATTTGTAAAATGGGGAGATAATGTCGATGTCACAAAATTGTGAGAACTAACTTATATGACCTTTAAAAGCTGGTGGTGAGGATAATAATGTACGGAAAGTCCATAGCCCAGGAGAACAGCATATGCATTTGCACGGGAGTTCTGGTTACCATCACAGAGAAAGAAATTAAGACACAGAGAGATGTGACTTAGCCAAAACTTACAGTAACCCAAAGGAAAAGCCAGGACCCAAACTTTGGTGTCCAATTCCCAGTCCACAACTCTACCCTCCATGCCAGGCTGATTTGTCCTTCTAGTATCTCTGCTTTTGAGCTTTTTTTGGAGCCTGAGAACTGGGGAAAAGCCCCTTCTCTGGTAACAAACTGAGTCCCAGTCAAAGATTGAGCTGAGAGCATGGCCCCAGTCTGGGATCTAACTTCTTCTTGGTCATCAGGATGATTCCCTGAGAAGATACAGTTAAATCAGTGCCGCCTGTCCCCTCTGTTCCTCCTGTGCTCTCTGAAGGGTCAGGCTGTCATGGGGATACAGATAACTCTCACAGAATCCCACGTCCTAAGAAAAAGTCTAGTTCCTCCCTGCCATCAGGCCTTTGCTTTTGCTTGGCTCCACCACTTAATAGAAAATGAGAGTCATATAATTCTGAGTCTGAAACACAACTCTGCCATTCCGGGGCTGTGGGACCCTTGGACAAGTGATTTCATGTCTCTGAGCCACTGTGAAAACAGGCTAGCCATTCCCATCTAGAAGAGCCCAGGTGGGGACTGCTTCTCTGAGAAAATGAGGCCTGGACTGCGATCGAAGAGTGAAATTTGGGGGTGCGAAGAAGGGTGAGTATCCAGAACCTTCCAGGTGGGCTGAGGAAACAGCTGGACCAAGGGCTAGAACAGAAGGGCGGTAGGTTCATGAAAAGAAATAGAAAAGTGTCCAGTATGGCTGGAGCATGCTTGTGGACAAGTTACAGGATTTTTTGGCATTTTTTTGTTTGGTTGGTTTGAAGGTGGGGGTGGTACCCTGTATAGAATAAGATTTGCATTTCTAGAAAGTTCTTTGGCTGAAGTGTGGAGGGGGAAAGACTTTGGGAGGCCAGTTCTGGAGCCAGTGCAGTGGTTAGGGGAAGGGGATTAGAGCTTGGACCACTGTGTTGGCAGAAGAGATAACAAGAGGCAAGTGAAGATGACATGTATTTGGGGTATAAAACTGGGTTTATAAGAATTGAATTTGGGCCAGGCATGGTGGCTCACGCCTGTAATCCCAGCACTTTGGGAGGCCCAGGCAGGCAGGTCACAAGGTCAAGAGATCGAGACCATCCCGGCCAACATGGTGAAATCCTGTCTCCACTAAAAATACAAATATTAGCTGGGTGTGGTGGCGCATGCCTGCAGTCTCAGCTACTCAGGAGGCTGAGGCAGGAGAATCACTTGAACCCGGGAGGCAGAGGTTGCAGTGAGCCCGAGATCATGCCACTGCACTCCAGCCTGGAGACAGAGCGAGACTCCATCTCAAACAAACAAACAAACAAAAAAGAATTGGGTTTGGGGGGATGAGGGAGAGGAAGGAATCCGGCAAAACCCCTGGGTTTCTGGCTCTCCTGCAGAGCTAGTGGTGGTTATTCCTGGAGATGGGGAACATGGAGGCCAAAGGGATGTGGGGAGGGCTTATACATTTGGTTTTGAACTCCTTAAGTTTAGATGCCTTTGAGGTACCTGCAGACTGTTGGATTATTTTACAGTGCATTAAATGTCCCCAGCCAGCACCTCCAAGGAAGGTGTCCTTTCCTGTGGTGAAGGAATATGGACAGGTGGAAAGGCATTTGTCAGCCCTATGGCAGAGGGTGTGCCCAGGCCTCTGTCTGCGGGGCAAGGAAGTGACGTTCACTAACTCCCCAATTCCACGCATTTGTTCTCTGCCAAGCTCCAGATTCTGACAGTCAGGCAGCCACTCCCAACCTCATCCCCCAAACCCCTGTCAGCGGCTGGGGGCTCATGACGTCTACACCCGCCCCCTCCCCTGTTTCCGATGGTCAGTGGAAAAAAGGAAACTGTGCGCTAAGCGGGGCTCTGCCCGAAATAGCATCTGGTGCCTTTCGGTCAGCGAGTTGTCCGAGCGTCCATGAGAGAGTGACAGGCCGGGACCCAGCCAGGAAATGCCACCCCTCCTCCACCCGCCCCAAACGGAGGCCCCAGTCGGGCAGGAAACCTGGAGCGCCTGGGGTGGGGGTGGAGAGGAGGGATGGGAGGTTGAGACCCAGACTGGTAAGTCTGGAGTCTGGAACTGGGGCAGCAAGAACAGGGGACAAGAACAGGCTAGCTAGGCTCTGGCTCTGAGGCCGTTGTTCCCCACCACCACCACGAAAGGTTGGGTTCTCCCTAAACCCCAAAACTGAGCCTCTTACCATTTTTCAAGTGTTTCTGCCTGCCCTCTCTGAGTACTGGACTATCTCTGAGCTTCTCCCCTGAGTTTGTTCTCCAGAAAGATGCCGTGCATGCACTCTGATAAGCAGCCAAGTTTATTTTTAACAAATTACATTGCAGTTACTGTGTGACAAGTACTGTCCTAGGCACGTTGTAAGTATTAATTCAGTTAAACCTTGCAAGAACCTAATGAGGTAGGGACTACTCCATTTTGTAGGTAGCACAGAGAGGTTGAGCAACTTGCAGAGAACACCCAGCAGGTAAGTGGTGGAGGCAAAATTCACACCTGGGGCAGTGTGGCTTCAGGCCACAGTGCTTCGAAGGCAGCAAAGCAAGCACAATGATCAGGCAGACCTGAGCTCCTATCCCTGCTCCCTTAGTTGCCAGCTGTTTGATACCAGGCAAATTACTTAATCTCTGAGTTTCACTTTCCTCATTTGTAGAAGAGAGGTGATCATTTTCCATACATAATACTGTTTATATAAGGATTATTTTTAATGAGGAAAATTTCAATTTGAGGAAATGTCATTATTTCCCTCTTCCACTTTCAAAGGACTATTCTCTCCATTTTTGCCCTTGTCCCTTGCCCTGGAAGAACCCCTATCCCATCAGTAAGCAGGCCTCAAGAATTCCGAGCTTGAGAGTCAGGTCTGTGCTTCCAAACCCCACGACTGCTGTCAGAATTCTCAGGGATGGAAGGAACTCCACTCTCAGTGGCTCTCAAAGTGGATGGTCAGCGTCACCTAGGAACTTGTTAGAAAAGCAAATTCTCAGGCCTCACCCCAGGCCTACTACTACTGCTCTGAGGGTGAGGCTCAGCAATCTGTTTTCCCAAGCCTTTCTGGTGATTTCTGACACACACACAAAATTTGAGAACCACTTCTCTAGTTTACAACCCACATCTGTAGCAAAGGCCAAAGTAAAATTGTGTTAAGAAAACACCGTGCTTTTTGTTTTTTTGAGACAGAATTTCGCCCTGTCTCCCAGGCTGGAGTACAGTGGTGTGATCTCAGCTTACTGCAACCTCCTCCTCCCGGGTTTAAGTGATTCTCCTGCCTTGG